TATATATCCATCCTATAACCCCTATTATTTGCGTCCTTGGACCCTTAGGGTTCCTTCATGCTGTCGCCGGAAGCTGAAACGACTTCGTCCGCGCTCGTCCTGGAGCTTCAAAGTCCACGCGTTTTAGGGTTTAGGGTTTAGGGTTTAGGGTTTGGGGTCTACCTAAACCCCAAAAGTATAGCCCTCAACCCATAATAATAGCCCAAAAGGCCATTATCTTACATACTTTTTAGGGTTCAGGTAGGGTCTAGGGTTTAGGGTTGAGGGTTTAGGGGGCATCCAAAGTCTTCTTGCCTCGGTGGGCAGTGAGAAGGCAGGCTTTCGACATCCAGTGAGTAACGTGAAGTTCCGCAGCTTCCTTTGCCAGATTCAAGGCCGCTTTGCTCATCTTCAAGTTGCCAGCACTCTTACTTGGCCCTCGGCCGGTCCTGCCCAAGAATTAGGGACATTCCCTATCTTAGCCCAAATATATTGGAGGACAATTGTGCGTTTGAATGTTGAGGGAAAACCGTTTAGCGGCTGATAGAAACTGTTCCTGCCCCAACATCCACTGATTGTCTGAAACTGGCCCGAAAAAAACTGAATAAGGTGTAGATGATGGCCAGATGTGGGGAAGATGATTGAGCTAATGGTTTCGGGTGTTGCAGCGCCGCATTCTAATTTTTTTGGGGGGCCACCTGAAATCATATGCGGGCTTTGCCAAGGACGAGCACACCTGGAGGGCACCACTATAAATTGTTTTTGGTGGCTTCTTAGAATCAGTTGACGGCTTTGCCAACAATAAACCTACCTCAAAAGCTTCCTGTGAAGGGGCCAGCCCAACTCTTCGGAGATCCCATGATAGGCTTTCATAAGACTGTAGGAACCACAGATCTCTGGGCTCCGAGGGTTTAGGGCTTAGGGTTATTTATGGACCCTAAAAACATGCGGTTAAGATCAAGTCGTCTTCGCCAACCCTGCAAATCTGACCCCCCTTGCCCCGTGTCAATGTGGTTAAGGTTCAAGGTTTAGGGCCTAGGGTGTAAAAGTGTTCGAAGATGAAAAATCCGCGCCTGCCGGAATCCCTACACCTTCAAGGGACCTCAACTATAAATTGGTCCATAGGCCCCGAACGCACAAAATTGAACGGGCGTGCTTCATCAACAGTTCCGTGCCGTAGGGCTCTACATGAAAATATTGGAAGCACATCTGAGTCATGTGCCTGGATTTCAGCTTAAACCCTTACATGACCCGCTGTGAACCATCGGCAAGCGAGCTCAACCTTGAAGGCTATAACCCCAAACCAAAACCTATACCTTCAATGTCCATAAAATGTACTACTAGCAAATATTCCCCGAGCCGTAATTAACGATTACTATTCTCAGGGCCCCAAGGCACGTGATTATTAACAAGCTTATGAGGATGCAGGTGGAATCCCTATAAGACCAGTACGACCCAGATTCTATGCCATGTTCCATTTTCATTCCGTTTGTGTTTCCATGATTGGGACAATGATCCTAGACCCTCAACCCTAGAACTCTAAGACCTGAATCCAAAATCCTAAACTCTAAGCCTTTCAAAAAAACAGGTCCCATCCCCCACATGGTGCCTGCGCTTGCTTTGGCATCACGGCTTGGACTTGGTAGAAGACAGGAACCTGAGATGGGGTTTACGGTTTCAGGTTTACCAGTGGCGCAGGTACGGCAAGCAATATCTTGGATTGGGGCTTAGGGCTGTTTGGGGTTACAGTCCCCTTAAGTAGATAGAATATGGCTTTGGGTATATTATAACAAGATCCCCATATACCCCACATTCTATCTACTTAAGGGGGACTATACCCTTCCCCGAACAAACATGGAAGCCCATGCAGCCCAAGCCTGGCATGACGCCTCCTTAGAGAGGACAGCAATTTTCGTGGAACCCTAAACAGCTATATTATTACTATATGATTACTACATGATTACTATATTGTTAGTATATTCTTACTCTATTATGACTATGTTATCACTACATTTTAACGACATTATTACTATATTGGGAGCTTGCATGTTAGTTTAGGCGCTCAGCACCTTGGGTTTACTAGCGAGTCCTTCTTACAATGAAAAGCAGTGTCACAACCGTGTGCGTTCTAGCCGGGCACAGTAATGCTTGATGTCAACAGAAATTGATAAAGCAAGCTAGAATGCAATAGCAAGGCCGGCACTAGAGTTCTGCACCTTGAATGGGGCATGGTTTGGGAGTCCATGCTAGGCTGGCAACGGGAGAGAAGTGCGAACGCAGCCTTGACAATCCTGCCTGCGGATGAACAGAAATAGGCCAGGGACTACAGCCCAACTAACATGAAACTCCATGAAGTACCTTGTCAGAAGGACAGTGTGGTTGTCAGGGGGCCCCTCCCACATGCAGCTTTCCAACAACTTGTGGCGCGCTTTTGGGGTGCTCCTGTTGCTGGCTTTTGGGGGGGAAGTATGAAGTCCCCATTTTTGGAACTGCCCATGTAATAGTTTCCACGGACAGGAGGCCCTTACTTTTGCCGAATACACGAAGACAGCACTTGTTGTGTTTAGGGACTCCCAAGGCGCCCCGGAATTTCTGGAGGTACCGGTGCCGAATCTCAATCCCTGATGCCTGGTTCCACGTTGGAACACTTTTTGGCCCCGAAACTTGAAACTTACTCTATGCAATCCCCTATGTTTGGAGGTTAGGGCACTTATAACCCAACAAGTGGTACTTATAGCCCAATGGAGAAGCATGTCAGGGAACTTCGGGGGCCTAGAAGTGCGTTTTAAGTACAGTGATACTTGCGTTGTGACTACACTGGACCTCCAAGTACCCCACACCATGAGCATGAGGTTTGCCTAGCGCTGATACTAAGGCCTCTGCATAACTTTGATCTACTAAGTCTCCAGGTACTTGCGTGGCCTGAAAATTGAGTTAAAGGCCATGTAAAGCTTTAAAACCAAAACCCTATAAACACAACAACCCTATAACCCCTCAACACTTAAATCCTATCATTCCTGGGGTAAGAAGGTACCTAGCGCCATGCAAGGTGCTTACATCAACCACACTATGAGGGGTGTATGGCTTGTGCTTTGAAAGTAGCACGTAGGGGATATGAGGTGTTCAGGGAAGGGGCCTACCTAGTCCTAGCGTGATTCAGTATAGATTAGAAATTAGGGTCTAGGTTTTAAGCTTTAGGTTTAAGGTCTAGAGAAGTAAGCTCCGAAACCTAATTCCCACAACCCACACCCGCCGCAATTCCTACCACCCAAGTGCTGATCCCTGAACCCTAAAAAACATATTCCCGCAAAGCCTAAACCTACTCCCTCCGCCATCACCCAGCTCCGTACACTAACCATTATGGTTTAGGGTTTAGGGCATGGAGAGTTCACTTTCTTTTCCTCCCTTTTCGTAAGTAGGGATTACGAAAAGGGAAAGGGGAACTGGATGGAAAAGACTGCTACAGGGACCAGATGCTCTTGGACGGCTCCATACCTAACCCCCCGCCCCAAAGTTGTGATTCATACCTCCTGAAATTTCCATTATACTAAGAATGAAGAAAAACTCCTTGGAAGACTACAAAAAATACCCCCAACAGTCTGCATACACGGTTTCAGGAATTACTTGGAGGGTCACGGGGACTTAGTGAGTAGGTTAATAATCCCTAAAAGCCATATATTGACCCTGGTTAGCCCCCCTCAGTATTAACCTACTTACTAAGTCCCCCTGATCCTCCAAGTAGGATCGAGGTCATTGTTTGCCCCTACACCCTGAACTCTAAACCCTCAACCCTAAACCCTAAATCCTAAACCCTAAATCCTAAACCCTAATCCCTAAACCCTAAACCCTAAACCCTAAATCCCTAAACCCTAATCCTAAACCCTAAACTTAGGGGGGAAAGCACTAGGAAACCAGCCGGGCAGCCATGATTGCCTGAGGAGCCACCCCCTGGGCTGCCTGCACAAAGGCCCTACGGTTCGAAGTCTTTCTTAGGGTTTCATGGTAGAGTTCTGGGGTTAGGGTTTAGGGGTTTAGAGTTTAGGGTCAGGGGTTTAGGGTTTAGGGTTTGGGGTTCAAAGTTTTCGGTTTTAGGGCTTAAGGTCCTCAAGGTATTACAATTTTAAGGTTGAGGGCTTATGTTTTGCAAATAAGGCTTAGGGTTCAGAGTGGTAGGCCTAGGGTTTAAGGCGTAATGCAGCATGCGGAATAGTAGAGAATCAAATGGACATGAAGATGGAGAATGCAATGGACACGGTGAATATTTGTAGAGAGCCATATGGAGTACTTAAAGTGGCGTGTTACTTGTCAGCTACCTAGAACCAGTTCTTACAACCTATTTGTAGCCGTGGATAACAGAGTCAGAGGACTGGTGTTGGGGTGGTTGAGCTACAGTCAGTATTTCCTACACAATCTAATGGACATGGGCTCCTCATTAAGGAATGTAATCAGGACCATACTAAACTACCAGAGGGAGACCTATGTCCAACCGTAATGGTCACTGGGTAAGGCCAACATTGACAGTAGCTCTTGTGGAACAACTTTGATGACCTGATACTTTTTGCAGGGTGGGAAGGCTTCTTTGGAAACGCCCTAGTTGGGAATACAGGGAACCCTACACTCCCGGAACCTTGCTAGCAACTGTTGGTTGTTTTTGTTCTCCAGCTGTAGTCACGCAAAGCTTCTTGTAGTTCATATGCGGTAGATGACCGTGCATCGTCTAAGACCCCCCAAACAACGGTAGTGGTGCAAGATGGTGGGAGCTAAGCTGGTGCAAGATTTCCTCCATCATCAGCCCTTCTGGTGAACCCTAAACCTTGAACCCTAAACCAGGGAATAACCCGCTGACCCCTCCTCGAGATATGGGCCCTTAAGCACCACATCCGGCCCTCTGGGCCCAGAGTATATACTACATGAGCTACGGACTACGGCTAGGTTGAGAGGGATGTATTAGAGGAGGTAATTATGGGGGGGGGTTGGGGGGACCTCTAGGGAACAAACTATATAGCTTAAGTCCAGGGGTTCTTGGGCCAAGCCACACGCCGGACAAAACGCGCGCGACTGAAATGAGAAAAGGCCACAACTGAATGCCCTTAACCCTTAACCCTAAACCCTTAAATCTTTACACTCTAGAGGCCCCAAAATCCAACTCCCTGAACCCCACTTTGCCTACACTCGAAAATCACCAAAATAAACCTCTTGACCCAAAATCCCTCAACCACCAAAATGCCTCAACTCTATCCTCGTTGGCATCATCCCAGAATGAAGTTCATAGCTGCTTCTTTGGAAGTTTATAGTAACCAAGAACATGGAAACACATTTCAGGACAACCCAACCCTGCCAGGACTTCTGGTACTACAGTACTACTGAGGTCATTCAGCTTTTTGAATATCAACAGCGGTCAATCCTGAATCCACCAAGTGACTCTAAACCCTAAACCCTAAACCCTAAATCCTAAAAAAAACTAGACCCCTAAACCATTCAGTCAGAAATGCCTGAGAAGCAGCGGGACGAGTATTGCTTGAGGAAGAGGCCGCGGCCGCCGGAGGAATGGCACCTTTAGGAAAGACACATGTGTAATATAGGAAGCGATAGGAAGCGAGCGAGATAGAGAAAGAGAGAGGGAGAGAGAGAGAGAGAGAGCGGGAGAGAGAG